ATTTACTTTATCAATCAATTTGTTTTTTTCTCCTCCCTCTTTCTTTCTTTCTTTCTCTCCCTCTCTCTCTCTTCATTTTTTTCTTACCTAAATCAAAAAAAAAATTACTTTATGGTTTAATTTTTTTTCTTCAATAATTGCAAAAGAGAGAAAAAAACTGAGAAAACATTGTCAAATTAACGTATATATTTAATAGTTCAATTTAAAATAAAATTAATGAATTAAATTAAAATATTAATTATTTTTCATTTCATTTTTTACTAGGAATCATTAAATATATTTTTGTAATTTTTGAAAAAAAAAAGGGAAGGGAGAAAGAGAAAGTTGAACAATTAATAGCAATTTATTTTTATTATCAATTTAATCTATTTCATCAATTAAATTAATAATGGTATAAAAATAAACTAAAATTATTGGCAAAAAAAAAATAAACATTAAAGAATATATAATATAATAATTATAAATCAAAATTATAAAAAAAAAAGAGGGCGATAATTAATTAAAATATATTAGTAAGCCTCTTTTCTTTTTTTTTTTTCATAAAAATTAGCATTTCTCAAAACTTGTTGACAACTGCACATTTTTTCAATTTTTTAAAAAAAAAAAAATTCAACGAATTTTTCCTTTTTGCTCTTTTTTTTGCTTATGTATTTGATTTATAGATATTTTTCGTATTTACACTGTCACTTTCTAAAAAAAAAAAAAAGTTTTTATTTTTTATCTGAAACATACATTAATCATTTTAATCCAAAACCGACTAAATTATTTCAAATTATTTTGAAATGATCTAAATTAGTTACTTTTTTTTTAATAGTTTTATATTAATAATAAATACAAATTATGTAAAATAACTGTATATTTTTACTAAAAATTGTAATCATTAAAATGATAACATAATTATTCATTTAATTTAGTTTGAATAATTTATAGCATCATAATATAATGTATAAATTATTTTTGTTAGGAGAATAATTTTGATGCTAGAAATAATATAAAATAACTGATAAGAAAATGATAAAATATAAAACTGCATTGAATTTGTGAAAGAAATAAAAGTGGAAAAGAACTTCATATTATACCTTATCAGTGCTTATCACAAACAAATACCTTGGAATTTCTTACGTAGAAATTGAATAAGAAGAAATGGCCAATATAAATATATATGTATATATATATGTGTGTGTACATCCAAATATATATATACTTATCATTCTCTTCAATAACTAATCACAAATATGATGAGTAACTGATAACAGTTCTGCAACTGATAACGTTTGTTGCTATTAAGCTAATGAAAACAAAGAATGAAAAAGAACAACATTTAAAGATCATCATTTTTGATAATCACTCACTCTTTCTTTCCAAATCTGTGATTAAAGTAATAATCATAAGTTAATAATAACAATGAATAATAATAGTGATAATGAAAATTTAATTTAAAAAATAGCACGAATGCTTGATGAAATAAACATTGGATGATGATAATGATAATAGTGATAATAATGATAGTGTTGTGCTTCCTTATGGTGTTTTCTTTTTTCAAATCTATGATTAAAGTATTAATCATTAGTAAATAATAATAATAAAATATAAAATTTAATTTAAAAAAATAGTACAATTGCTTGATGGAATAAAAATTGGATGATGTTGATGATAATAATGATAATAATGATAATATTGTGTTTCTTTGTGGCAAATAAAAAGAGAACGATGAACGAACGAAGTCAATGACCTTGTTTTTACCCTATCAAAAATTAGGTCAAGTTGAGTTCATTATTGAATACGTAATATGATGAATATAGAAAATGTAAAAATATAGAGGAAGTTGATTATAATTATGTCATTTCATATTTCAAATTTTAGCATCATTTTAAAATTTAAAAATTTTAATTTAAATATAAAAATGATTAATATTGAAATGATGCAAAAAAGAAAAAAAGAAGAACAATTAATTTTTAAAAAAGAAAATGAAAAAAAAAATTTATTTTTAAAAATTATAAATAATAAAAATTAAAAGAATATAAATGATATGACTGAAATATTTGAAAAATTTTTTAAGAAAATTTAAAATTTTCTTTTTTCTTTTTTTACTAAATATATATAATCATATATACTTATATATAACATTCTACAAATTTTTTCATTTGCATTTTCTCAATATTTTTTTTTCCTTTTTCATCGTTAAATTCATAAAAAGAAAAGAAAAGAAAAAAAAAAAAAAATTGAAAAATACATTCCATGTATAAATCATCTATAAAAGAAAGAAAAAAAAAGTTTTTAAATTAAAACTCTAAAAAATCAAAAAAAAAAAACTGGTGTATGTTTGATTTTTTTTATCCAATTTTCCAAATATAATATTTGCTTTTATCTTAACCTTATATTTACAATTATCGTTTTAAAAAAAATATAAATGTTTTGATAAAAATATTTGAGAAATTTAAAAAAAAAAAGCAATGAGAAATGATTATTACCAAATTAGCATCTTATAATACTTTTTTAATATTTTCATCTTTTGTCTTTAATATTGATAAGAAAAGAAAAAGAAAAAAATTCTTGTAATCAATTTTTGATTACAATTTTAATTCTTAAGAGTTTTTCTTTCTCCCTCTCTCCCTCTCTCTCTCTCCCTTTCTCTCTCCCTGTCTTTTACACATTCTTCTCTTTCACTTTTTTCCACTAAATATTCCAAATCATTAACATAATATTTACAATTCTGCTGCATTAACACAGATGTATATTTGAAAGCATACGTATTGTTAATATCAGAATTGAAATATCGAAAAATCTATCTATCAGATATCTGAAATGATTTAACGAAAATGTAGTATTGGAAGAATTTCAATGTTATGATAAAATTATATTATATATTTTAATCATGCCTAATCATCAAATATTCGAAATAAAATAAATTCAAAAAAGAAAGTTTTAAAGTAACCTAAAATTTAAAACAGTATAAGTTTATTTTACTTTCTTGCATACATATCATTTTTTTCTTTCTTCTTTTTTTGAAGAAAAACCATTATAGCAACAAAATATGAAATTTGAATTAAAATTTAAATTTATAATTGTGAATGTCTAAGTTTTGTTCCATAGTTTGTACTGTAAATATCCAATGGTAACGATTAATTAATTATTAAAACTATACTTGCTATTTCATATTTTCTTATTCATTTTTTCTCTTCCAAATTTTCTTTTTCATTTGACCACAAAAAAAGAGAAAACTTGTTTTGTTAAAACAAGCTTATCAATACCTGTTATCACAGATATTGATAAGCTAATTGACAGAAAAGACATTTTTGGATTTTTGTTTATGTTTTTTTTTTAACAAAAAACAAGAAAATCTTGTTTAAGCTGCTATTCACCATGTTAAATTAATTTTTTAAAAAGAGAGAGAGAGGGAGAGGGAGAAAGAAATAGACAAAAACATCACTTTCTTTTTTTTTATTAAAAATAACAGGAATAGTTCTTTCATTTTTTTTATCTCAAAAGTTTATAAATTGTATTTTATATTATATCTTTCTATATTCCATTCTTTCCCACGAAACATTTAATATTTTAGTTTTTTTTTTTTCCAGTTTTAATTTAAATTTAACTAAAAAAGAAAAATGGGGGAGAGAGAGAGAGGAAAAAAAGGATGGATGAAACCGGTTTGTTAATTTGGAACAACAAAAATTGATAATTTGTAGCAATGATACTAGTGATAATAACTATGATAATGATAATATACCAATAACTCAATACTAGTATATCTAATAAATTGTATTTATTTGATAAGATAAATAGCTCTATCAATAATTATTTCTATGAACGATTTAAATGATAAACTTTTGACTGAAAATTTTTTAAAGTATATATTTATATGATAATCTGATTGTTATTTTCAAATTATTTGTTTTTTGTTTTTTTTTTTTTTTGTATATTTATATTAGTAATTTGTAACTTCAAAATTGCTAATACTCTCATCAATTGATAATTTCATTAAAAATCATTTTGAAGAATTGATTATGAATATTGTTTATTTATCACAATGCAAATAAGACAAACATATCGCAGTTATGATAATCAGTGTAAAATATTACATCATTGAAGAAATAGTATTCAAAATAATCTTTGAATTCATTTGAGAATGTTAAAATATATGGGAAAAAAAAACAATCAGATTATCAGTTGTATAATTTTAAACAATAATTGTTAATTCTACAGTGATTATAAAAAAAATGATAAATGAAAAAAATCAAGAAAGAAAAATTGAAAAAGTAAGAAGAATTAAATTATGGATGAAGAAGAGAAATTGAAATGAACATATATTTAGTGATAAGATAGCAATGTGAAAAAACTGAATAAGCTTTTATTTTATTTTATTTTTTCTACTCTTTTGCTTTTTTTCGTTTTTTTTTTTTTTACTTTTTGCTATTCTTTCTTTTGCATACAAACAAAATTCTAATTTTCAATTTTATTATCAATTTGTAAACAAATACTCTGTAACAAATGTAAATGATATGATCAGCTTGCTTTTTCTTTTTTTTGATTGCATAATGCCTCATAATGCTTTTTACATTTTTTGTAATGAATGATGAATAATTATCTGATAAACATATCAAAGTTTTATTAGTTTGACATCAATGATAGAAATGTATGATAAGAAAAATCATATGCAATGAAAAAAAAATGCTAAATTAATCTATTTTTTAATATTTCACTTACATAATTGCTTTCTTAACAACTATAATTTAATTGAAATATATTCATTATAAATTGTAATGATTATAACAAAAACGAAAATGTTATTCTTATGGAAGCAAATGAAAAAGGAAGAAATTAGAGTGAAATGTAATTTGTTTCTTCTTAAAAAAAAAAAAAATTCTTCCTTTAAGAGGTCAAATCAAAATTTAAAACAAAAAAAAAATTGAGTAAGGTTGTCACTTTTTTTTTATCAAAAGTATGACTCAGGAAATAAAAAAAAAAAATCAAGAACAGGAATAGGAGCAACTGGTACACTGATGATGATGATACTTAGGACAGATGATGGTACTTTGAAAAAGAATGATGATGATTTTGATGGTGATGGTACTTAGAAGAAAAGGGAAGATGATAATTGATGTTGTTGAAGATGATACTTCTCGGAAAGATGATGATGATTATATTTGGATAACGATAATGTTGATGGTAATGATACTTAGATGATTACAATGTTGATGTTGATGATGACACTTAGATGATGATAATGTTGATGGTATAATGATGATACTTAGGTGATAACGATGATAATGGTAACTGATGATGATACTCAGATGATGATGATGATGGTACTCAGATGATGGTCAGATGATAGTACTTAGAGATGATGATGATGATGACGATGATGATGATGTTGATGGTGCTGATGATGATGGTGGTGCTGGTGGTGGTGCTGATGGTGATGGACTTCCTCCCCGAAGCGGTGCCAGTCGACCGACTCGACAAAGTTGACCTCTTCTGGCTGATCGGGTACCGCCTATCCTTTCCTCCCTAAGTTCCGTTGTGTATACAAAGAATGAATATCTATGGAATATTATTATTTACACAATAAAATTCAAACAAATTTCTCAAAAATCTTGTATGGATCATACATTTTGTTTATGAATGGGAATGATTAATATTATAAAATTGCAGGAAATAAGCAATAGAAAAAAAATAACATTTATAATTTATCAAAAAATGATTTATTAGATAAACATATAATAGTAATTAATTAATTTTGCTTAATTAGCAAATTGTATAAGTCGATGATTTTCTCATTACATTTTCATTACATTTCAATGCATTCATTAGTTTTTGTTTCGAACGATATTAAGAAAAAAAAATTCAGCAGAAAAGATATATTTAAAGTTATACAAGTTTTTAAGGCACACTTTTCAATAAATTTATCAGCAATGCTTTTTTTTTTTTTAATTAAAAAGAGAAAAAAAATTTCTATTATATTCATTTTACTAATTTATTGCCGGAAAATTTTGCATATAAATCTTTTCCGGAATTACCATTGCATGATATAATTGAAATGAATTAAAATGATATGCTAAAAATAAATTTTTTTATTTGTAATGCTTTAGCTTTGAACACTTTTTTTTTTGCAAAAAAAAAAAAAAAAATGGAATGCAAATTACTATTTAAAACTAAAAAAAATACATATGAAAGAATATAAATTCGAAAAAGTAACCGAAAAAAGAAGGAAAAGAAAAGACCTGCAAAAATGGATGGAAATTAGAAAAAAAAAGAGAAAAAGATTTGAACAAGATTTTATATATCTTCATTTGCAAACTTTAAATATCAAAATGTCTCAATAGGGGAAAAAGGAAGAGAGAGAGAGAGAGAAAGATGAGTTAAAGAGAAAAAAAAATCCAAAAATAAAAAAAATTAAAGTTTGCTGAATGTAATTATTCTAAAAATTAATTCTGCGACAAAAAAAAAAAAGAAAAAAAAAAGGAGAAAAAGAAAAATAAAAAGAATAAAAAAGAAAATAAAAAGAATATGTAATTTTGATTATTTTTTTAAAAAAAAAAGTGGAAAATATAAAAATACAATGAAAAGATATAATCTTATCAATCATAAATAGATATTTACACATAACCTTTTCATATCATTTCAACCACTAAACAAGATAAACCTTTTTTTATTCAAAATAACTGGAAAAAAACAACAAAAAAGTTGTATTTTCCTTTCTCTCTCTCTCTCTCCCTCTCTCTCTGTTAGGATCAGAAAAATGGGATTCTAGATAGATGAATGCCGTAGGCTATCATCAAAGACAGGAAGAAAAAGTAACAAAAAAAAAAAAAAAGGAAAAAAAAAAACAATAATACTTTGTTGAAAGAGAATTAATCAAAAGAGCATGGAAAGGAGAGAAGGTGGAGAAGAAGATTTGAAAGAAAAAAATTAAAATTTAGAGCATAAAATAAAATGATAATACCTAAGATTTGAAGAAGAGAAAAAGATATTTGTTAAACAGATGAAAAGAAAGGAACAATTTCATTTTTTTTTTTTTGTGCATGGAAGAAGGTAAAAGAAGATTTTTGACCATCAGGTCATAGGTAAGATAAAGGACAGATGTAGTTAAAAGATGATGATTCGATTTAACCAGCTTCAACAGGTTGGAACGGATGATAGGAAATGAGAAGAAAGAAGGAGAGAGAGAGGGGGAGAGGGCAGGAGAAATAGGCGGTTCTTCAGCAACTTGTAGGTGACAATATACCAAAATGAACTCTGTTGAACTGTTGTCACCAAACGTCACCCACAATATATGGATGGTTTTGTGTATATATGTATGTATGTGTGTATGTGTATGTTTCTATCTAATATGTTGATATGATTTCCTCCTGCACAATAACCGGTCCATTAGAGAGGTCGCACGAGGAAATAATCTCGAAAAGATGGAGCGAAAGTAGGAACAGTAATAGCATGAGATGATGAAGGAAGAAGGAGGAAAAAGAAGATGAAAAAGGAGGAGGAAAGAAGGAAGGAAGAGGAAGAGGAGGAAAAGGTGGAGGAAGAGGTGAAGGAAAAGAAGGCCAAACTAATAGGCACCAGCCTGTGATGGGTACCAACTAACACCATTATTACCGTTGACACCAATACCCATTATCACCAACAAACATCACAGCATAAATGTAGACAGTAATTTCTATAGTTTTATAACCTCTGACCTTATCAGTTTATTTAAAATAAGACGAAAAATAAAAAATGCCTGAAAAATAATAGCAAATGTTGCCAATTGATAAAAATATTAAAATTTTGGATATAACAAAATAAAATGGTATGAATTAAATGATAGTTGTAAGAAAAAAGAAATAAATTAATTATATTACTATTATAAAATTTGAGAATTTAAATAAGTGAAATAAAGATTTTTATTTTTCATTTCAGATAGAATAAATGAAATGCAAATTGTTTTCCTAATCAAATGTATCATTTCAATGTAATATTCATTTCATATCATTTATCACAAATAAAAATCAAATAGAAATAGATATTCCAATTAAAGCTAACTTATTATTTATAAATAATAGGGAGAATGTATTACTCATTTTGCTATTTACATTATTAATTTGTGTGAAAAAAGGAAAATGCTAAAATATTAAGTAATTCATATAGTAGCTTTAATTGTTAATTATCTTATTTTAATTAAATTAGCAAAATTATTGTTCTTTTGCTTAATTTCACTTTTTATTTTTTTCATATTTCAAAAAAAAAAAAAAATGCTGGAAACCGAATTAAAACAATTTCAAATTTCACACATTACTTCGAAACTTGAATGATTATGTAAGCGAGAAAGAAAAAAAATTAGATAATTAAAAATCATTCAAAGATTAAATAAAACATATTTCGAAAGAATGATACCAATAATATTACATTACTAAGCTAATCAATTATAAATTAAAGAACAATTTAATTTAATTACAACTTTTTAATTTTGCGCAAAAATAAAAAGAAAAAATTTTAAAACAAAACAATTTAATTAAGTGCTAAAACAATTAAAAAAATAGCAATTCATCAAAAAAACAGACAATTAGAACTTATTTGACTATTTTATATGCATTATACGGGAACTGGTCGTATAATAAATTAAAACTATGAACAGTTAAAAATTTTATTAATTTCGCTACAGAAATATTGTTCAAAACTTAATTATTAAATTTTATTCCTTACTAAATTAAAAAAAAAAAAAAAGAAGAAAAAGTAGAAGGGCGAATAATTTATGTTTGTCAAATTCTATCCCTTTTTTTTTTCTCTCTTTGACAATAATGGAAAATATGAATTTTTTAATATTTCACATTTTAACTACTAGAAATAAGCTATGTGAAGTTGAAAAGTTGAATGTATGGGCGTAAAATAGTTTGATGAATATAATTTGATTGTAGGAAATAACCTTCACATTAATAATAATTTCTCAATGATGATTGAATTTGAATAATATGACAAGAAAGACGGTCGACAAACTATATTTGTCACATATGGATATATGATTATAAAATTTTCTTTTTAGACATAAACTCTAATTAATGTTAACTAATTAAATAATTCATCTAAATTAAAATAGTTCTAATAGCTATACTAATTCATCTTAATTAAAATAGTTCTAATAGCTATACTAATTCATCTTAATTAAAATAGTTTTAATAGCCATACCCATTCATCCTAATTACGATAGTTTTAATTAACCAAAATAGTTTTAATAGCTGTGCTAATTCATCCTAATTAAAATAATGTTAATCCATGAACAATTAAATGCGTATATTATGAATGAATGATATGTGAATAAAATGAAGCAGCTTTTTTATGCATTGGGTGACACATTGATGACAAAAGCAAACGATAATAAATGAAATAAAATGAAAGTTAAAAAGAAATGACTGAATGTTTGCTAGTATATATGTATAATCAATGAATAAGAATCTGAGTGGAATAGTTCGATTAACTAGATTTCGTAAGGATAATGCAAAAGTAAATTTCCGGTAAAAATAGTTGAATCAAATTTCTAAACTATTAAAATTATTCTAATAACAATTTTTTTATTTTTCAAAATTAAAATAAGCTTAATTTTGTAATCAAAAAACTATTCGATAAATGTTGAAATAATTTTTAAATTAGCGGAAATATTAAAGTGAATATTTTAAAAAATTGCAAATATATTAATAATAATAATATAAATTATTCCATTTAACACTTTAAATTTAAATTAATTTTGAAATGCAATTCACTTTAATCTCATTTGGCTTATTTATCAATTTCAAAAAAATTTGAAAAGAAAAAAAAAAAAAGAAGCGATGGTATATTTAGTTTGGTGAAAGATAAATTTTATAAAATATGTAACAGATACATTGCAACATTATCACTGATAACATATTGTAGAGCCAATTAATGCTCTTATCACTATAATGATAAGAAAAAGACAAAAAATAAAAAGCCAATTCATCATCTAACAATTTTCTTAGAAGTTTTTACAAAAAAAAAATTTTTTTTCATTTTTTTGAAATATAATTTAAAATCATATTTAAATACAATTTAATAATATGAAAAAATAAATTGCTGCTACAATTACAAATTATTAATATTTTATATTAACAATAATTGTTTTGAAAAAAAAAAAAAAAAAAATTACCAACATTGTAATAAACATTAGTAAAAAAATATTTCAAAAAAATTAAAAAAAAAAAAAAAAAAAAAAAAAAATAAAAACAAAAAAAAAAAAAAAAAAAATTTTGATAAAAGAAAAAATAATTAAAAATTAATGAATAAATTAAGAAATAAAAAAATTAATAAATTTTTCAAAAAAGAAAAAAAAAGAGAGAGAAATGTTAAATTTGATATAAAACTGATAATATATGAAAATGAAAGAATTTTTTTTTGATTATTTATTCCTTACTACTACTACTTAAAATAAATTAAATAAAAAAGTATTAAATAAGTAAAAGCAAGCAAAGAAAAAAGAAGTAAGG